GCCTTCTCCTTCCCTTTCTTGGTAGGGTGGGGGATAATTATACAGAAGTCCCTCTTGTCCTTGCCACTTTTTTGAGCACACACACCTGAAGTGTTTTTCAGGCTGCTGGTTCTGGGATTCATAACTGTGTAGTCTGCCATGTGGGATCCTTAACCACCAAGCCACCTGGCAGGCCTGAAAATGATTGTTTTGTTTTGTATAATTTTTTGCAATAGGGTGTGTGTGTTCATTGGAGAGAGACTAAAGAAAGTGAGAAATCATTCCCTAGCAGGGATGGCCACACCACAATCTTATCTCCATCTCCTCTTGGGAGTTTTAGGCATGTACACACCTCTGCCAGCATATTTTTCAAGCTGCTGGGTCTGGGGCTCAAGACGCACAGTCATAGTATGTGATCCAGCTGCCTTAACTACCACACCACCAGCTAGCCTGATACAGTTCTGAAGTTATAAACAACACCCTTTTGAGTCTTCTTCCCCTTTGCCTCTTACATCTCTCCTTTTGTGCATGTGTCTGATCTGTAGCATGAATTTTGAAAATAAAGGAATTATAGTAAAGTGTGGAATACAAATCACATCATTACCATGCTGTTCTAACTATAAAATCTAAAAAAAAAAATTAGGGATAATTAGGTTCTTTTCTGTCAGTACATAGTAGTTTGTATTTTGGACAGTTGGCTATGAATTTTAAGATGGTCATAATTTGGAAGAGATGACTGATACTTCTGTGCTTTTTGGACACAGTCTGAGACTGAAAAAACACATAGCTTGAGTTTTTGAGTTAAGAATTAATGGGTAGTTTTATCAGTTTTAATATGTTGTCTATGTTAACGTTTATGTGTGTATATTTCTTTGCATTACTACTGATTTCGCCTTGGAGAAGTGCCGGGGTCAAAGGGATCTTTTAGTCTGGAGAAGTGCCTTGGTCCAAGGGATCTTTTAGTCTGATTGTACTTGGCATGCATACTTTTCTTCCTAAGCCATATGTACGATCTGGTCGTGTCATACTTAGAACTTGATGTAGACTTAATTGTCTATGCTTTCAGATGTTTGTTTCCTAGTCTTTCCTATGTACTTGGTATATTTCAGCCATACTGCTCTTTGGCTACCATACTTTTCCAGCTGGGTCATTATTTTTTAAGAGAGATTTCTGCTGTAGGGCACATGCACTTGCTGAAGAGAGAGAAAGTGAGAAATCACCCCCTGGGGAAATGGCCATGCTGTATGTAGTCCTCCATTCTCCTGGGATCCTGGGTGCACACACACATGCCTGGTGTGAGTTTTAAGCTGCTGAGTCCAGGACTAGAACTGCAGTTTACTACATAGGAGTCTGTCTACAATGACCATTTCCCTTTTTTTTTTTTAAGAGGTTTTGCTCAACAGAGACAGAGACAGAAAGTGAGAAATCACCACCCCGGGGGTGGGGGGGGGGTGGCCACGCTGCAATCCCTTTTCCTTCATTCTCCTCTCGGGATCCTGGGCACACACGCACACGCGCCCGGCGTGAGTTTTAAGCCACCGGGTCCAGGACACGAACTGCGGTTGACTACGTGGGAGTCTAGCAACATAGCCATTACACTAACTGCTGGTCCCTGGCCATTTCCCTTTTCAGCTTGGCTGAAATTGTCTGCATACACCCAATATGATGTCATGTATATTATATGGTTTTATTTTTTACTTGTCTGATCTTTTTGAAGGAAGGGAACTCGGGTGCTTAGATTTGTTAAGTGACTATCTGAAGTAACTGAACAGGTTAGTCATGGTATATAGCTATATTAGAGTGCTCAACGAGGTAGAGAAATTAACTGAAAGGGAATTGGGGGGGGGTGCAGGTGGTGTGTTGGATGGTGGTGCACTGGGCTCGCTATTTGAGTCCCAAATCTGGCAGCTTGGCTTGCTTTCTTGCTCTCACGCATGCACTCTCTCTCTCTACCTGTCCCTCTCTGGTCAAATTAAAATAAATAAAGTTAAATAAAGTACTTAAAAAAAAAAGAAAGAAAAGGAATTTATGTAGTTTCAAAGACAATGATCATTTCTGCAATATTTGTCTTTGCTAAACTTCATGCACTTGTGTATTGTCATCATATTTTCTCCACATGAATGAGTGCTTTTTAGAGACGGAGGGTTACCTTGACATAGCCTTTAGGGCGCTGTAATATTCAGAGCTGAAACTTCTGGGGGGGGGAAGAGTTTTAGAACAAAATGGCCCAATAAGATAGTGGTAGCTTCTTGTGGTTTTGTAGAAAATCAGGCCTGTGTCTAATTCTGGATGCCTTGTATTACTGCCTGATACTAGTGACTAGTATTAAAGAAGAGATCTCTGGTACATGATACTGGGAATTGCATTGAAAAATGGGGTAAAGATGGAGACTGTGGGATGACAAGTAATTTGATGGTTACTTGTTGTCTCTAGTGTCCAGTCGTCCTCGGTTATGTCTGTACTCTTATCTTGGCCCTATGTACTGGTCATCTTAACATCTTAAGTAAGTTTTGTTTTGGCAAGTATCCCCATGTGAATGAAAGAATATAGGCCAGACGGTATTTAAAATAATAAAGTGTCAAGTATTTCTGCAGAGAAAGACCAGGAGACTTTAGAAAGTTCATAGGAAAAGTGGATTAAAGTAAAATACCTATTTATTTTAGTCCCCCAACCTTTTGATATCCATGCAGCTTTCTCATAAAGGATTTTTTCCTTTCTTTTTTTTTGAAGGCCCATTATAAATTTGCTGTGGATCTACTCAAAAAGTACAAAGTGTCAGTTCATACTGTGTAAGATAAAGATTGGGAATTTGTTAGGAAAAGGGGTTAAAAATTTAAGCAGATACCAGCATTGATTTGATTTAGTTCCTTTTGAGAATCTGGCTTAGAAGGGCATTAGCAAGAAGTAGTAGAGTGTATGTTATGTATAGTAGGGTATGTGAAATGAAACCAAGTACTGTTTTGCTTTCCTTTGTTTCAGATGGAGGAGATGTATAAGAAAGCTCACACTGCTATACGAGAGAACCCAGTCTATGAAAAGAAACCCAAGAAAGAAGTCAAAAAGAAGAGGTGTGTGAGGAGGAGGTTGGGGGTGGTTCCTATATTCAAAGTGGGTCAGACTGTGAGTGACATTGTGCAAACTCGATCACTAGCTCTGCGTGATGTGGCAGACGCTAAGGGAACCAGGTTTGCTAAAGTAATTTTGGTGATAGAAATATGTAGTTAGCCTCAAGCTATTGAGGTGGCCCGTTCTATCCTGTACAGTATATAGATATCAATTACTGCCTTTTTTCTTAGTGGTTCCCTAAAGAAAAGTGTTCTTTTAATCTTGAATTTTTTTGATCTTTATTAGGAATAATAATACTTTAACAAACATTTAAACATTGTACTAACATGGTTTTTATTGGATTTTGGGCCCTGAGTTTATAGGGCGGCATCATAGGAGTTGGGGTCTGGGAAAGTTGACTTTAAAATCATATGTAGATACATGTTTTAAGGCTTAGATTGATTCAGCGTCCATCTGATAACAAAGTATGTCTCTTTCTATTGAAATTAAGTATTTTTTGTCCTCTTTGGCTTTTGTTCTAAAGTTCTTTATTTTGTAGGTGGAATCGTCCGAAGATGTCCCTTGCCCAGAAGAAAGATCGGGTAGCCCAGAAGAAGGCAAGCTTCCTCAGAGCTCAGGAGCGGGCTGCTGAGAGCTAAACCAAACAATTTTCTATGACTTTATTCACGATAAAAGATAATAAATCACAAGAAAGCAACAGTTTCTCTACTAGGCTGTGTTACTGTGAAACTAATTATCCTAAAAGCAAAGGAGTTGACAGTCCCTCCATCCCCAAGAAACAAGTATAGATTTTTCTAGAAAAAGCTGACCTGTATGTTGACTCCAACAAAGTTCATCCCTACCTGGGCTTCTCTTCTCCCTGACAGGCTTGGTTATCGCTCAGATTGAATGATGTTCGGCCCCTAAACTGCCAACAAGCAACAAACTATAACCATCACTAGGAAGTTATTTCTTTCATCCATTTATTATATCCAGATGATTAATGGGAAGAAAATACCTTCAAAGTATACATTTTTAATGCAAACAAGCCTGGTGCTGATTCATGGCTTTAGTATTTGAGAAAAGGATATCTAATGCAAGTCACATAAATTTGACACATTCACTTCTATCAAGTGAAACCTTTGAGCAGAGAATAATGGGGCAGTAGTCTCAAAGAATACTTTGAGCAGGGACCAGCAGTTAGCATAATGGCTATGTCGCTGGACTCCCACATAGTCGACTGCGGTTCGAGTCCTGGCCCCGGTGGCTTAAACTCACACTGGGTGCTTGTGCATGTGCGCCTAAGATCCCATCTGTCTCTCTGTCTGGCGAGCGCACACATCCTGTAGCAAAAACCTCCAAAAAAAAAAAAACTAAACAGAAGAATGCTCCTCTAAGGAGGTGTTTCATTTTGTGGAGATGTTGAAAGATACATGCTAGATCTGAATATAATAAGAGGAACAAATATTAAGTACATCAAGTTTACATGGGGAAAAAGGTAAGATGAATAAATTTACATATTTCTAAGAAATAGCCCTTTGACCCACAGGAAATAGTGTTTAGAAAACTTTAAAAAGTCTTCCAGGACCAGCAGAAGGCGTAATGGCTGTGGAGCTTGACTCCCATATAGTTGACTGCGGTTCAAGTCCCAGACCCAGTGGCTTGAACTCAAGCTGGGCGCATGTATGTGCATGCCTAAGATTCCAAGGGGAGAGTGGAGGAAAAGGGATTGCGGTGTGACCATCCCCCATAGCTCAAGCTCAGGAATGTGGATCTGGCATGGGTTTATGTCCTTAAGACTCCAGTTTGGGGGAACCAGCAGTTAGTGTAATGGCTATGTCGCTGGACTCCCACGTAGTCGACCGAGGTTCGTGACCCGGACCCGGTGGCTTAAAACTCAGCCGGGTGTGTGTGCGCGTGTGTGCCCAAAATCCCGAGAGGAGAATGGAGAAGGGACTGCGGTGTGACCATCCCCCCTGGGGGGTGATTTCTCGCTTTCTGTCTATATCTATCTCTGGCGAGCGCACGCGTCCTATAGCAAAAACCTCTCAAAAAAAAAAAAGACTCCAGTTTGGAAGAGCTAGGTTGGCTGGTAGGTACTAAGGTAGATCACCCATTGAATCTTAAGGCTGATGAATGTTCAGTTTTGGCCACTAAAAGGAACACTCCAGAAGTAAGAGCCATTCATGGAAATGTTCTGAAGTTACACATAAGATGTTGGAATGAGTTTAAAAATGTCTAAGTCTAAAATATAATAAACCATGCTATTAACTCAACATTTGTTTACAAAGGCAGGACTTTAATTTATCTGTTTTGCAGTTTTGTAATGTGCAAACTTTACCATGCTAAGACATTAGTAAAATTTATGTATAAATTTTCTTTTTTAGACAGCAGCTTCAATGCAAAACAATGTTTCTGGCAGTAGTAATTTGGCCAACAGTCTACAAAACACTCGATGTTTATGGAATGAGGCTTTTCACAGCATTTTAAGTCAGTCAAAATAGTTACACAGTGAATGTACTTGGGAACTGGAACAGGGCTTCTAAAAGGGCAGGAATGAAATCTTTCAGACCTGTTGATCTTATACTTCCTGCTATTGCTTCGGCAATCTCATGTACTTAAGATATGGTTTCTTGGGCCCAGGAGAAGTAAGTTTTGTTTAATTACCAGGGATCTGAAGCCTTTTTAAAAAATGTTCAAAATTGTTCTTTAGAGGTGGCAAGTTTCCTATAATGGTAACAAACTTAAGAGTCATTTGTGTAGGAGATTTTCTTCCACAATAATGTTTTTAGGTTATTCAGTATTAGAGAATGTTCCATTTCCATTTGATTGGCTGTGACTTTGAGAGCAATACAAGAGTAAAGTTGTTTTTCTAATTCTTCACGAATTTCACTTGGAGCACCACGCAGTAGGTAGTCCTTGAGTAACTGACAGGCTTTTGCCAAGTTTGGTTGTATTACTTCTGAAGTACATTTCATGGTACTCTGATCACAGCTAGTTCTACAATCCGTGCCATAGACACAGTCCAAGTCAGACTCACAGTGACGATCTTTGATCATCTCTTTCAGGTTTGTCTCCGGCACAATTTTTCTCATATCCACCATTTTCAGATCATACTTATCATTGTAGCCTAGGTTTTTGGCACTAGTATCACACATGAGGAAGTTTCCATAGGGGCCATGGAAAACATCTTCCACAAATTCTAGAAGTCCTATGGCTATTTTAGCTTTTCTAGGCCAAGATGGTGTGAACAACTGATCCATGCTTCTTCGAAACCCAGATGGAATAAACAGTTCAATGACCCATGGGAGGCTTATCCCATAAAGAGATGTATATTCAACACTTTCCATCACATAGAGATCACCACAGAAGCCCATTAATTTAGGGGTATGTTCTTTATCTTGAAGTATCACCATGAGAAGAAATTCATTCAACTGAAGAAGTGCCCATGCTGACTTTGCTTCTCCCAAGGACACTTGGCCATCTTTGTCTCCGTCAGCCACAGTCAGGATGAGATTCACCAGTTCAGAGAGGTTTCCTTGGTCCCCCAACTTTGCCTTTCAAAATAAGAATTTAGCTAATTATACAGAAAGAATATCTACTATTTAATATACTAACTTCCTTATGGATATTACCATGGTAGTTATATTTATATATATATATACACATTTAGAGGTTTTTGACAGGGTATGTGCTTGCCAGAGTGAGAAAGACAGGGAAAAAAATCCCCCCAGGGGGAATGGCCATTCCATAATCCCTTCCCCTTTATTCTCCTGGGATGTTGGGCATGCATGCACACACACCTGGCATGAGTATCAAGCCACTAGATACAGGACCTGAACTGTGGTCAACCACATGTGAGTCTAATGACAACCACTGTGTTATCTAGTGGCCCTTCCAGTAATAATTTTACTACTGGGTCTCCATAAAGGAATTTCATGTGTTGTTTCTAAATAGCAAGATGTATGATACTTGAATTGGGACCGTGTTTTGTAATTACAGTAAAGCGCACTTTTTTTTTTTTTTTTTTTAATTTTT